TCTGGAGACTCTGGCATCGCCTTCGTTAGCAACAGTGACCTTGACCACGATTCGCAGCAGCTTCATGCTCAGTTTTTGCAACAAGAACAACACCAGGTTTTTATAATTGCCTTGAATTATTTTGACACCCATAGCAGTGCGCGCCACATAGTCTCTCTTTTTCTGCTTTCTAGTGTTATTAGTGCTGTGCCACACGCGTGGTGTTTACAGTGGCTCCTGAAGCGTAAAAAGTCTTGCGCTAGCCTAGATGGTATTTCGTTCTCAGGCGCCTAACATGTTTATACCTTCAACTGTTATTGGCCAATTAGGTCAGAAGCCACTATGCTAGAGTCAATGAGACGTGCCTTTAAACATTTGCGTCATTTGAGATCTATCCACTGAAAATGTGTCGCAGCGTAAAATATTACTTACTTTTTTGCGTAACTGCTAATTGTCTGGATGGCTTCTATTGACCAATAAATGTCTTCCCTTGTTTAGTATTATAGTTTTTGAATGTTTCTCAAGAAGAAGGCCTTCAAATATTTCTGTTTTTTAAAGGAAATCGGAGAAGTTGTTGAGAGCAGCGACGAGGAGGAATTTGTCCCTCCAATCAACGATTTTGAGGAGCCGGAGTCACGTTTCGTACTCGGTTAGTATTTTTGCTTGCTTTCCCATTAGTTGCCATTATTGATAGCACTTCCAATTGTTTGTTCATAGGTGGACTTGATTTATTCGATGTATCTCAAGTATAGTTCAGTTGTACATAAATTGCATTTACGTTTTAGTTTCTAGGCCAGACAAGAAATTGCCCCAAGTCGAGTTCAATAAGGTAACAAAGAACCGTGGACATGGATTGCTGTATGGCGGCAGCGACGGAGTTGTTGCTTCGCGCAACACCATAAGCTATAATATGAAACACGGGGTCTTGTTAACAAGGCCAGCTGAAATATCACTGCAGGACAATAACATAACATTCAACAACCATTCTGGTATTTGTGTGTTGCTCGGTGTATGTTGCACGATACAGGGGAATGGCATATACCACAACAAAGAACATGGTATCCAAACTGCTGGCGTTGGAATAATTAAAGAAAATGACATCTTTGGTCATAAAATGGCTGCTGTTCACATTAAGATGCAGGGAGACCCCCACGTAACGAGAAATCGACTGCAAGGTATCCAACAAGAATGCGTGTACGTGGAGGACAACACGCGGGGTTTGATAGAGCAAAATGAGATTCACCACTACAGCTTCGTCAATCCAATTTACTACCATCAGCACAGTCAAGTTCAAATTGCAAACAACAAATTTCATGTTTTGATAAAGCAAGATAATGACGGCCTAGAGACTGCAATCGACTTGGAGTATCTTAATCTAAGCAATCCTTCGCCAAGGCCAATCATGAATAATGATAGCGAGAACAGAGGACCGTTCTTTTCCAGTCCAAATCACGAGAAGAGAAGAGTAGACATGCGTAGAAATGTTGCTATCAGTGCTTTGTGCTCTATTTTGTAACCTCTAAAGGGTTCCTTTCAAAGGCTTCTCGCAACCTCGAGATTGATTTAAGCTCTTCATAAGTACAGATTTTTATATTCTCACATGCATCAGACCTTCAGCGTAACCGCTTACCAATGTTTATAATCAGGGTGTTGTGTTTTGTATTGGCTTTCGGACGACACTGCAATGTTTACAAATATACTTTTGACAAAATTGCACCTTCCAACTGAGTGCGAAGTTTTGAAACCTCTAAATCAATGGCCAATAACACGATGCTTTTCCATCCCTAAAAAAACTTCACCAGCTGCAGTACTCTCAACTTACCAAGAAGCTGTTTAAGTGTGCGTATTCAATAATGTCGGGAAATGCTCCGGTTATTCACAATAAGTCAATTACTGGAAGATATAAGTAGTGGTGGACACTTGGTCAAATAATGGGGGCAAGTCTATTGTTTCGGTAAGGTGATGTCACATTTTTCCATTGTTTTAAAACAAATGACCATTTCTTCCAATATATTGGAAGGCAACTGCCTCTACGCCCCCCTCTCCCCAGGTGGCCGCTACTGGATATAAGTTTTAAGAGCTTAAAGGTTTTGACAAGTTGAAGAAAGTTACCTGCAGTGGTGGCGCTAGGTTTCCTCCGACAAAGGGGCTAGCACTTCCGACGGAGGGGCTAATTTTTTTAGAGAACGATAGGGCTAGGGGGCGACAAGGAATTGTAAGGGTACTGGAGACCGAAGGCGAGCGTTGCGAGCCGAAAATTCGGGGGGTCCGGGGGTACTCCCCCGGGAAAATTTTGGTGGCTACACCCATTAGATTGGCTAAAAATGCTATCAAAATGGTGTAATCGTGTTTTTTACTACGTTTTTTGACATATTACTAAGGGCACGTTTGCCCCCTCCCTTGCCCCTCCTAGCAAAGGGCAGGAGGGGCGCTTGCCCCCCCGCGCCCCCCTTCTCCGGCGTCCCTGGAAATTTTTTTTGAAAGCTGCCTCTAGATAAGCTTAAAACTACTCTAAATCTTTACAACTCATCAAACGTTGCCAATTCAAGTAGGGCCTATCTTTGGAAAGTATGAATTTAAATAAAAAGCAACCAACTGAACTTAAGGAAAACTGGAACACAACGTAACTTTATAGGAACAGACCTAAGCGGTGGAATACGCACTTCTACATATCGAAAATTCAAGTCCAAGAATCAAAATTGTTTCACAGAGCAATTCTACTCTTCGGGAACTTAGCCTTAAATCTGTCTACTACTGAGTCCAAGTCAAGAGCACTTCCACGGGCACGATGAATACCTAGCATCATCAGACTGTCTAGACGCTCGTCCTTCATAAGTGAGCGCAGATCACTCTTGATGAGGCGCATAGAGCTGAAGCTGCGTTCACATTCGGCTGAAGAGACTGGCAAAGTGCATGCGATGGATACAAGCCGGTGCAGCTCAAAGAAAGCTTCATTTAGCTTTTCCAAGTGTGCCTCTAGTTGCAGAAGTGTGCTTGGGCGGTGTTTTTCTTCTTTTCTTGAGAGCATATATTTAAATGTGGCAATTTCACTGCGTAGTGCACCAATTTCAGACTGAAAAAGCTCAGCAAAATTGACAAGAGTTGTTGGGTCCAAGTAGCTTTTCGACTTGGGGGCCAATGCAGTTATGCCTTTCATGATCTTTATGTTTTTTTCGTCAAACCGCTTGCAAAGTTCTGCAGTTGTTCTGTTTAGTATTTCTTTGACATTTTGTACGTAGCCATCAAACCCGCTTGCTACTTGAGGCTCTGAAGATGCTTCCACAACAAACTCTCGAAGAGAAGCAGGCGTTGCCCTCTTTCTTGGTGGTCTTTTTTCTTCCGGCAATTCCAAGCGATCCGCTGCTTCTTCGGCAGTATCCCAGAACTCTTGAATCTTATCCCTGCTTTGACAGTCATCCAGTTCATCTTTCAATGTTGCAATGAGATCAATGGCTTGACTCAAATCATTGGAGGGTTTCTGCAACATGTCAGACGCAAATTTGGCTTTGTTCAAGACGTGTCGGATGGCAAACAGGTATCTCACAAATTTCCTGTCAATCTGCAGAAGATAACCAGTAGCTTCTGTTCTGCGACCGGGGTTCGTATCTGTGTCAATCACATCCTGCAGGACTTCCACCAAGATATCCAACCGCTCCCAGAAAACATTGAATTGCTTCGCCTGGCAAGACCATCTCGTGTCAGAAACTTTTCCAATTTCCATCACATGAACCTTGTGATCCTCTTGGACCTTTACCCATCGTACATGAACGGTGCTGCTGCTCAGAAAAGAATGCAGGCTTCTGAATAGCGATATCATGTCTGCCACACAACTGATTGATTTCACAACATCGACGATCACAAGGTTCAATCGATGACAAAAGCAATGGACGTAGTAAGCCATTTCAGCACCGGTTTTCAGAGGAAGTTTCCTTTGAACGCCATTCAGGTGACCAGAAACAACAGAAGCTCCATCGTAGCCTTGCCCCACGCATGCTTTCATGTTGGCTTCGATGCGTTGCAATCGTTCAATTATTGTGTCTGAAAGACCATCTGCATCTAAACTTTGCGCCTCAGCAATGCCAATAAATTCCTCATGTATGGCATTCTCGTAGCAGTAACGGACTGCAACAACAAGCTGCTCTTTTTTGCTTCTATCTTTAGACTCATCTGAAAGGACGGTAAAATACTGAGCCTTATTGAGCTCACTTTTTATTTGCTCAAGAACCATGTCTTTCATAATGTCTAAGATGGCATTCTGTACGCTGTGGTGAGTATACTTTGCATTTTTCGGGCCAGTGCGGATTTTGTCAGCAACAACTGGGTCATGCCTTGCAAGAAGACCAAGTATCGCAAGAAAATTACCACAAGAAGGTCCATAGTCTAGAGCTTCTTTATTTATATCGGCAACACGAAATGAACCTCCAGTCTCACGTTGGGCAATCTTCCGCTGAGCAGTGAGAAGCAGGACTTCGCAAATCACTCGCATGTAATGCCTGTTGTCTTTAACCAGTTTCGAATAAGCGGCATCATGAAGTGTGGCAATGGTCTGAAAATTTCCAGACTTAACGTTTTCATAGTGCGCTTTAG